ACCCTACAGGTTTTTCATTCCAACTCGTATACATATTAGGTTAACGTGCAACAGCTGCCAGGTTTTTTCACGCAACAGCACCTGGATTGTGCCAAAAAATGCACTGCAATATGCAATGCGTAGCTCTTAAGTAAAAGGTAGTTGGTCGCAATCACCTGTTTGCATAGCTTGCATCTATGAACGGTAGTTTCACCCACAGAAAATTGGTTTGTATCTCCTATCAACTACTTCGTACCTAACCCGATGTACGTATTGCTAAGCAAAGGCGCACGCAGGATTTTACAATGAGGGAATGGGTGGGATGGGCACAAGTTTCAAATGAAAACCGAGTTAAGCGTGCGCTGGCTAATCTTGGGAATTCACCCTTGACATTTGAGCGCAATTCAGCGGCCGAAAAGCAGGAAATAATGAGCTTTTGTGGGAAGTTAAGTTAACCTTACCGTCTGAGGCCCCATCCAGTCAAAAAACTAACACCCCTCATCGGCAGCAAAAGCAGTGTCCATGTCCGGCGAAAATAAACACGCCAGCAACACGTTCGAAGAGTACTAGATCCGTCTCATGACCACCACCACGCCGCTTGACTCTGTGGAAAGAGGCGCCATGCTGTTTCCGCTCGCAAGCCAGCTGTCAGCCGTGTGAGCTGGGCGGCCGGGCCGGCCCGGTGGCCTGGCCGGTGGCCGCTGAGTCCCGGCGGGAGTCCGCGCCGCCTGCCTCGAGCGGCGGCGGACGAGCTCGGCCGTGTCGACAGTGGCGCCGCGGGGGCGGCAGCGGCGCGGAGGTGAACCACGGGAGGTTTCCTCTGTTCTGTAGGCGCTGGGGTCTTCCCTATCACCAAGCGGAAAGCTAAGGGGGTCATGACAAACTGTCTTGTTACAGCTTACGCAAAAGAATTGGGGCCGAGAGACCATTGCCTTTTATTATTTTTCTCACAAAAGCTTGATATCAACTCTGCAGTGAAACGTAGCAACACACCACCGCTGAAAGGAATAATTGGTGTAGTTACGACTCGCAGTTTTCAAAGTGCAACAGTACATTTGAATCTTAGTAGATCTGTTCCCAACAGTCATAAAGGCCGCACGAAAGTTCCAAAATGCCACGAAGATTCGAGTCTCCAATCCAGTATCCTCCCAATGCACCCGATGCTTCACCCTTGGGTGCTGCGGCGGCTGTCCGGCGTAGAGTGGTCTGGTGGATGCCTAAAATATACTTTTTTCTCATTTAGTTGATCCAAGAATGATATGTTACAGCACTCAACGCCTCAGAGTCTTATACTACATCTATTGTCTTTATCGGAGACCTGACATTCCGTCGACCCGTCTCAGAGGCGTCCAATTTTCCATTTCCTTCATTTGATCTGAATCGACTCCAATCCAATCGCGGCGGCGCCGTTCGGTCCCGACGGACCGGTCGTCGGCGCTGTCGTCGTCAGGGCCGGCCTGGCCTCCTCGTGCTCGCCGTCGCCAATGGCTTCCCTTCGCGCGCCGCGACCCGCCGTAATCGGTCGGCGGTCCCGCACAGTCCGCCGGCCCGATAACAGGCGCCTCTGCCCCGCTCTTCCCAGCGCCGGGCAGCGCCTACAATAACAAACAGGGCACCCGAGCCGGGATTATGCCCGACACACGGCGGATAAACAGAGCCGGCCCGGATAAGATCGGGGCGGCCGATCCGTCGGCCGTTTAAACACGGCCCGAGATGGTGCTGACATGGCCGCCGGCCGGTCCTGCCCCTTGGCACCAGCCGCCTTCTGAGCGACGTCCCGCCACCGGGCGGCAAGCGAGCCCGGAACCGAGGGAGGTCGACCACGAACACGCGCTTGCTGTAGGACTGACGTCATGCTGCGCGGCTGTTACAGCCGCGCCTACATGTAGCGGAGGATCTTGCTTATGCTTGCGTTACCACGTACTTCTGTTATCCGCCTACGCACTTCTGTTAGCGCGACAGTGTAACCGCGTCATGCAGATCATCTATCGTTTCGATAAATCGTCGCCCTTTGTTCCATGCTGCACGTACTGATAGCAAATGACGCGTGCTGTTTGACCGGGAAACGGGTTTCAGCCCCAACCCCGTCCCAGAGGCCTCCGTACCGTCCAGCACTCTTGGACCCCATTCCTCCGACCGTGAGAAAAACACAAAATATGCGCGTCACAGTACGTGACTGGCCTGCCAGGCCTCGCGCCGTGCCGTCCCGCTTCACCATTGTCGGACGCCGTGGAGCTTTTTTCCGTGGGGACCGATGTCCCGGATAGCTGGCGGCACGCGTCAATCGGTCGCCGCGCCGCAGTCGTCGCGTGCCTCCTCTCCAGCGGCGTCACGGCGCCTGCGGACATTTTGAGCGGCGACTGAACGGCTATGGCTTCACGCCTATCCCGGCTAGCACCGCTAAAAATCGGGCGTTTCCCATGGGCGAGGGCGGGCTCGTGAGAGGCGTGAAGCGTTCAACGTCGCCGTGGCTTTGTCATGGCGCCGGTTGACGCACGTTATTGGTGATTGCGCCGGCGCGGTGCGACATATGGTGCCTCGTCGCGGTGACCTGAGAGCGCTGATTCAAGGTCAGACCTTGGCCGCGCAGAGGTGATAACAGACCGCCTACCCACGTGGCTTGTGACGAAACGTGGTCAGTTTATTTACTGTATTTCATGTTGTGTAAATAACTTTTTGTTAAGTGACTCCAGCTTTGATCGACCACACTATCTGGCCGCTTTGCAGGTCGGCGGTATTGTTTGCCAGATAGCGCGGAAAAGTTGGGTCCACTCGTCGTACCTTGGGTTATATTGATAAAAAACTAGCTAGAAAAGCCTCTTAACGTCTTCCATGTTCCCTTGAAGTTCGTAGCACATCCTGTCGGTTATTGGTGATGGCTGGCAAACCGCGTTTCGCATGTCTCTTCTTGCGGCGGCAACGCGCCGCAAGGCTGACATTTTGGACCGCCTCATTGTCAGCCCTGTCTTGTCTGGCTCGTACCCGCAGTTTTCGTTCGCGCTGAGGTTTTTCGGCATCAGATAACTCCGGACTGTCGGTGGTTTTATGCATAAAACATCACGGCAAGGGCTCTTCTGCCGGTTTCAAGTGGCCGGATAATTAGAGCTGTTGGACCAGACTGCGCTAAAGCGGACCATCTTCTATCCAACGTATGGAGCCTCCTTCAACGGACATGATCAATGTACCACCCCGCCCTCCAATTACACTGGTATCTAATTATCATCCAAGGGGCCTGGGCGGCTCGAGGTCGAATCAGTCCGGGAGATCAGGACGCATCCTAATGTATTCGTGCGCTCTTCATGCTTGTCTAGTGAGAATCAGAAATAGCTCGCCAGGGCAAAGCTGTTCAGTGGGATTTACTTAATTGAAAACCGTTGCAGCTGTGCGCTGTTCAGTGTTCGTTGACCAAGTGCGTGCCTTTGTTGAGATGGGATGCAACAGCTCACCATTTGCTGGTAGGAGAAAGGGGAGTCGGTTGGCTTCGTGGGGGTGGGGGCGTTTGTGCCCCTTTGATTTTGTTTTATAAACACCTAAACGGCTGGCGCTTGGAATCACAAGCTTTCAATGCACGCCAACAAATGTTGAAGACACCTTGTGTCAAAGAAACGGAGACCGAGTCAGTGTCGGTCGGGTAGAGATGCCATCCTGAATGGCTGGTATTTATAAGTTTTGATTTTCGAACTTGTGTCATGTTCTCTCATGTTTTCGGGGCTGCACTTAGCTTATGGCTTCTGGTTATTTTATGGAGTCGTGGCACATCAACAAGATTGGCTCAATCTATTCTGCATTACAATGACCTCACAGACTGGCACATAGACGCATGTGCGATATGCTGCCGTTCCTCGTGTACAAATGTGCCATTCGGCAGCTACATAGTCTTTTGACTACCGGGAACATCGCGAAGCAAAATATCCGAGACTGTAAATGTCTACGCAATGTGGATGTTCCGACCAAATCGAAACAATTGCTTTGTTTTCGCGCTGTTTTTCATAGCCCTTATAGCAATCGGCGCGAGCCGCGAAATGCCGTCTCACACGTATTTTCCGTGCTGACCAACACCTGAGCGTCCAGAGAGCTCTTGATGACTTCAGGGCCTGAGACAGACATCCCCACAGAACATTCAACACCCGAGCATCAAGAGTGCTCTTGATGACTTCAGGGCCTGAGACAGACATGCTCACAGAACATTCCACACGCCAGTGGCCGGCAGACCGACTGTCGAAACGCTCCCATTGGCAGGTATTGGCAGGTTCTGTCGTAGAAGGTGAGGTAGACCTACAGCATCAAAACATCGGTTTAATCTGACTGGACAACACATGAACGTTGCACCAGCGGTCGGTTATGGACAAGACACTATAAATGATGAACGCCAACGCCATCGATGGTTGGTGGTGAGTGGTAGAAGCCACACCACCGACAGTTGGTCATGGGCGGTAGTGACCACACCAGCGACAGTTGGTGATGAGCGGTAGTGGCCACACCAGCGACAGTTGATGGTGAGCGGTAGTGGCCACACCAGCGACAGTTGGTGGTGAGGGCTAGTTGCTGGTAAACAGTTTTCGGCGACCGCATCTGGCTCCTTCGTTTCGCTGCTGGGGTTTGACGCCATGCCTGAAAGGGACACACGAACTTCCCGAAGAAGCCAGGCGTAATTGTGTGACCGCGCGGACGGCGTGGGAGTGTCTTTGTTCGTCTGATTCGTAAACAAGCGACAGCCACTAACCAGCAGTGGCCGATGTCTGTGCGTCATGTTTGTGACAGCTAGCCTGCGAAGCCTGTCATTTGAGGAGACCACCACCCCAGGGCAAATTGGTGCGCCTTATCGGCGGATCTCTATGGCCGTCTAGACATGGGATAATAAGCACTTTACGGCCGTAGAAAACACCGGCTGCCGTTGGCGGTAATCAAAGGCGTGTAAGATGGCAAATGATTGGCTGGTGCGTGAAATGACATCGGACAGCAGCGCGAATTTGCATTTCTCTGCTAAATGGTGACTGATGTGCACTTCTGTTTGGTTTCAGACTATGGTGCGGCTGGCACCTAACTACTGGCGGCCTCCGCTTCCCTGGCGATGAATTTCCACCTCCGTCCGCTGGTGGCGCTCCTGGCGCTGTCGGTCGCCTCAGGCGATGACCCCGTGGTGACCCAGGTGGACCTGAGCGGGGAGGTCAGCCGACTGACCCACCTGCGGGTCAGTCCGGGCTCGGGACAGGTCTATGTGGCCGGGGTCAACCGGATCTACCAGCTGTCGCCAGCGCTGGCCCGACTACAGGAGGTGGCCACCGGACCCCAGCAGGACAGTCCGCAGTGTCCCGCCTCCGGGTGCGCTGAAGGTGTCGAGACGGCGCCCACAGACAACGTGAACAAAGTGCTGGTGGTGGACCAGGAGACAAGGACGTTGCTGGCCTGCGGATCCGTGCGGCAGGGAGCGTGCGTCAAGTACGAACTGGCGAACATAACGCGGCCCAGTCAACAGCTGCCGCATGCCATAGCTGCCAACGACGCCAACTCGTCGACGGTAGCCTTCATCGGACCGGAACACTACAACCCGTGGGGTAACACAAACGTGTTGTATGTTGCCACTACCTTTACACTGGTGGGCAACTACCGCAACAACGTGCCGGCCATCTCCACGCGTAACCTCCATGATCTGGATTTTGCTGAGCGCTCCTTCAACAAACACTCCATGATGACCATCGATGTCAAGTACCGGGACCACTTTCTGGTGGAGTACGTGTACGGCTTCCACGAGGGCGACTACGCCTACTTCCTGACGGTACAGAGACGCTCCCACCTGCCCGGCCAGCAGGAGCAGGGCTACGTGTCCAGGATCGTGCGCACCTGCGTCACGGACGCCAACTACGACAGCTACGTGGAGATGACGCTGACCTGTGGTGGTGACAACCTGCTTCAGGCGGCGCGTGTGGCCGAGGCCGGCCAGGACCTGACCTGGGACGCCGGCGTTCTGGACCGTGACCGAGTGCTGGTGGTGGCCTTCTCGCCTAGTCAAGGCTTCACTAACGAGCCCCAGGAGCGGTCCAGCGTGTGCGTGTTCTCCATGAAGGAGGTCGAGCAAAAGTTCAACGAAAACATCCACATGTGCTTCAACGGATCGATGCAGTACCGAAACATGGAGTACATCTCCGGTCCCGTTCTCAACGGACAATGCCCGAAAGCCGGGGTAAGTCGTCGCTGAAATCATGGTGACTGTTGGTCTTATTGTTGACATGATACGCAAACACGCGCTTGACAAGAAATCTTTGCCGTTCTGTGGAAGGTCCGAGTCTCTCTTAAACTAAGACGAATTTATCCTGAAAAGGATCCTTGCTCGTAGTACCTGCTCGTGCTCCTATGTACGATGGTTCCAACTTGTACCCGCACGGGAGCAACGGGGTGTTCCGGCGGCCCATCGCCACCGCCAATACTCGCTGCCTCCACCTGTAGCTTGTGCCGATGGTCGTCTGCCAGACTTGCGGACCATGAGTGACGGGTCGTTCTCGTCTCACGTGCCGTCTGCCGGCGCGGACGTGGCCGCCGGCGTCAGACACGCCAGTGCCACCGACGCCTGGCAGCTGCCGACTGCAAACTGGCATAATCAGAGGGCCGCGCGGCACTTCGCATGCATGACCCGCATCAGTGGACGGCGGCGCCGCGCTGCGGCAGCGGCTGCGCCGCTCGTCCGTGATATCGCAGGTGGACGTGCTCTGACATTATACACGGCGTTACCGCTGACTGACTTGGGCGAGCGCCGACTGCGCCTCACGTCCGTGATATCGCAGGTGGACGTGCTCTAACGTTATGCACGTTGTTACCGCTGACGGCGAGATGCGGCGGCGCCTTACGCCCGGGATATCGCAGGTGGACGTGCTCTAACGTTATACACGGCGTTACCGATGACTGGCGAGCTGCGGCGGCGCACCACGTCCGTGATATCGCAGGTGGACGTGCTCTAATATTGTACACGGCGTTACCGCGACTGGCGAGCTGCGGCGGCGCCTCACGTCCGTGATATCGCAGGTGGACGTGCTCTAACGTTACACACGGCGTTACCGCTGACTGGCGAGCTGCGGCGGCGCACCACGTCCGTGATATCGCAGGTGGACGTGCTCTAAGTTATACACGGCGTTATCGCTAACTGGCGAGCTGCGGCGGCGCACCACGTCCGTGATATCGCAGGTGGACGTGCTCCAACGTTATACACGGCGGCACTGCTGACTGACGTGGGCGAACGCCGGCTGCGGTTGGACGGCGCCGAATGGTGGCCCAGATTCATTCGGTTGTTGCTTTTCGGTTTGCGAGCAGGTCATGTCTGGACATTAACTTGTGTGTTAATTTTCACTTGTTCTGACAATACGATTTGTTTTAGAGGTAGCACGCGTGGCTACAGGCGAGCACCATTCGCGACCAAAATTTATTGTGGGGCGCCTAATGTGGTTAGTAACTTGTCTAGGCACTATGGAATAAATTGCGCCTCAGATACATGCTTGGACTAATGTCTGAAGAACATGGGCGCATTTATGCGATTTGGACAAGGGCATTCATCCCAGTATTTATAGCTTGGATTCCGTTTCAATCGGCAGACATGAACGGAAACGGTCGGAATAAGACTCCCTCCCAGCACCGGTCTGGAGCAGGGCCTGCATCAGCCGCCGCTTAGTGTCCCTCAGCCGGGAGGCGGGTGTGGCGTCCGTCTGGCGCACCCGCCCCTCGTGCTGTCCGGTCGTCATCTGACGGGCCGCTGCCTGCGTGACATCAGCAGCAACGAGCGACAACATTCTCCCGTGCCCTCAGCAGTTGGCCGGAAATGCCCGGCCCCTCCCATACCTCATGACGTAACCCGTGAGAACCAAAAGACGGCGTTTTGAGTGACGGCGGTGGCGTCGGCGATACATGAGTCGGTCGCGGTTTTTATGGCCGGGTGGCGGCACGCAGTATTGCGGGACCACTTAGTGGTCGCGGCGGTAGCCGGGCCCTGCCGTGCGAGCCAAAACCACGTTTGCCACGTTCCGGTCGAAACGTTTGCCTGTGCACCACAGAATGTATGGAGGTAACTTCCGACTGAAAAACGCGTGCTGCATTCGTTTGAAGTGCATGTGAGACATACGATGCTAGTTTTTGGATTCAGTGGAGAAGTGGCTCCCTCCGTCTTTCTATTGAAAGCGATGAAATCGGCGGTCGATATCCACAGATGTGGGTTTGCCTTTGCACGGCATGTCCGGATCGAGCTGGAAATACTCTGACGGGGCAGTGGCAGGCGGATATGGCGCGGTCAAGATCGACTACCCTTCGGATGCTTTGGCCCGACAGCGCTTGGGGTATTCGTCTTTCACCCGCCATGGCCTGGGGTGCAAGTAGCCTCCCATTGATGCCTCATAATCGAATCGTCATATGCAGAAAAATAGGCATCCATGGCCCTGCTTAATTTCACTCCAGGAACTACTGATTTCACATTCTTCACGGAAATGGTGACGTCACAGATAAACAATATCTTAAAAATTACGCAAGCCTTCAAACGTCTTCAGGGCCCTTTAGCATCTAAAGGCAACTCTAAGCTCATTCACAGTGTAAATTTCGGTTTGTGTTTGCATGCCAAATGGTATGCCGATGGCTTTGAGATGGTATCTCTGGTATTTGAGTATACAGGACACCGCCAAATCACGTGTCCGATTCGGATTCAGGTGAAGCGTATGCCAGACAGATTTGGACGAGGGCCGGGATCCTGGACCTGAGGATCGCTATTCCAGGAGGGTCGATCCTGCGCAGCTATTCGGAATGATGGACCTGAACCGCGACACAGAGGTGTAGCCGTTGTAGGTGCTGGGGGACATGCCCCCCCCCCCCAGTATTCTTAAACTTGGATTTTGTCCCCTCCAGTTTTGCCTGGGTAGTGAACGTTTTTCGCGTTCTCCCATTCAAAATACCATCATTAGGGAAGACTGTTGCCCCAGATGTCAGCTTGAAGATCTAAGCTCAGAGACGTGGTTACACCATGTCCCGCACCAAACTTTGGTTCTTCATCCCAGAAACGGCGCCGAATTGGTGTTTTGCCTACGCTGCGTCATATAATTGGTTGACAAAATATGTGTCAACTTGAGCTGACAGAAATGGGAGAAAAAGTTGTGCTCGGACGCATAAGTCTGCCCAAGGAAGTGCTATCCACAGTTACGTTTGTTTGGGAAGTAGGTAAAGGTAGGCGCAACCATTCTTTGTACCTGCCGTTATTTTTTTCTCGCTCTCCTTCCAAATATTGACTTTCCGGGCATGTTCCGTGTAGGCTGCGAAAAGTCGTGGCAGAGTCCTCTTCTTCTTTTTTTGTCGGTCTGTGACCGTACATTGTTTGATTTGCTTTCCTGTTCTTCTATTTGTTCTTTCTTTTTAAAATCCATTGCTAAAACCGCATCTGGCTGTGGGTACGTTCAGTCGCTGGTTATTTCAAAGCGTTTCGTAGACGCAAGGATGCCAGCATATCTGCTTTTAAGTGCCTTGGAAACACATATTTACCGTTATAGGTGTTATATACATATATAACACTTATAACGCCATATGTGCTTTTAAGTGTCTTGTATCATAGCATCAGTAAATGCCAACAACCGCATTTAAATCGATGTTAAATTTCCATTAAAAATGCGCCTAATTCGGGATACAATCAGCGTAATGTGCATCGTAAAATAGCGCGCACTAATTTCATACCCGTTTGATTCCCACGTTCCTCCAATATTCCCATGCTTATTGTGGTGGGTGCCCTGCCACTGGTACTTAGGAGCCATCAGGCCGCCACAGAACTGGAGACGCGGGAAATCGCGTGAAAAGGTCGTGAGAATACCGCAATCACATCATAAGCTGGAGAGAAATGGATCACGATCAGAGCCATGGAATTTGACCTCCGTATTACGCGGTCGAAAATGAGAGCGTCACCCAGTACGAAATGAGAGAGAATATGACGTCAGTCCAGCCGACGTGGCTTGCGGATTGGTCCGGACATGCAGCCAATGGTCCGACGAGGCTTGTTGTTGTTGGATGAGGCTGTTCGTTGATTATGTTTACGGCTCCCGTACAGTGTACACAAGGGTGCCTGGGTATGTCATTTGTCATAGTTTGGCAATACCCCCGAGTGCTCTACCGGTGCCGCGCCTGGCTGTTGCACTTTCAAGGTAGATCGATCACCAACAGGAATTCTACGTCGAGTCACAAGCTCCTGTGGAGGGTGCACTATAAATTATGCAAATGGAAAGCATTATCGATCATTAATGGTACTGAACAAAAATTGTGTGCGAGTATCATCACCGCATCAGTTTTATTCGCGTTTCTGTGCGGGTATTTTGCAAGAG